GCGCTTCGCCCGCTCCAGTAGTTGTCGTGGTTTAACCCCAGGCAGCACCTACACACCACGCGGCCGCCCCTGACCTCCCCCTCCCCAATGGGATGGGGGAGAGAGTTGGAGAAAAGGGAAGAAAACTCGTGGGTAGAGATAAGAACAGTTTAATAATTGGAAATAGATAAAATAATGATGCTAAAAATGCTAAAAACACTAATAGTATTATGTAATGAAAATACTACTACTGCTACTACTACTGTGTAGTGAAAATAACGGGGAAAAGGAAAAGATACAACCGCTCAGCACCGCTGACTGACACGCAGCCAGGCCCTGAGCAGCGAGAGCCAGAGCCCAAGAGAGCAAGTTAGAGCCCGAGAGCCCAACCCCCGGCCCACTCCCCCCAGCTTATCTACTGAGCACGATGCATGGAATGAAACGTCCCTTCGTCGGTTTGGGACAGCTATCTGGGCTGCGTCCCTTCCCAGCATCTTGTAGAGGAGAAGCTGGGAATGGAGGGGCAGTGTCAGGAACTGAAAATTCCTTGGCTTGATGCAAACATTGCTTGGCAACAACTAAAAACATCAGTATGTTGTCAACATTCTTCTCAGCACAAATCCAAAACACAGCGTCATTCTTGCTACTGTGAGCAAAATTAACTCTGTCCCAACCAAAACCAGCACACACGCATGAATAAAAACCAGACCTGGACAAACGCGGGCAGATTTCCCTCCGGCACAGGGCCGGGCAGCCTCCAGTGGAGTCCTCCTCGGAGCTGCAGTGCCCAGGTGGGGAAGGCTCCCCCACTCCAGCAAACTGTGCCTGGCAGGGAGAGGCAGGGTGGAAGCTTGTGTTGGGAAAGGCCGTGCCCCCCCGTTCACAGGACCCACCCTTCCCACTTTTGGGGACTGGCTGAGTGCCCAGAGCCCAGTAACCCCCGTGGAGGGGCACTGGGAGTAGGACTGTGGTGCACTGGCTGGCCAAAGGGCCTTTTCCTGTGTCCAAGCTTGCCCCGGCAGCTTTGCCACTGCCTCTTCATGCAGGGTCCAGCCCGGGGTGAGGGGCTGAAGCAGCCGCCCCCACACCAGAGCAAAACGGAGAGCAGAGGGAGATGTCCAGGGCCAGGTGTTGCCAACCACGTCTGGAGAGTTCAGCCAAATCTGGCTCTGTGGGGTGGCTGGATCAACCCCTGCCAGCACAAAGCCATGAAAGGCCAAAGCAGGGCTCCAGGCGCACGGCTCTGTGCGAGGCGAGGCACGATTGCAATTGGGAGATGGAAAATTTTCTCCAGGTGCTGCTGCAATCCTGCCCCTCCAGCATGTCCCAGAGCAATCCTGGTACCTGGATCTCCCATCGTCTGTGCCGAATGCGTGGGCTGAGCTAGTCCTTCAGCCCCCATATATACGGCATGCGGGAACACGGGATGCGCGGAGGGTT